GGATCTAGGCAGCATTCAGATGTCCCAGCTGCTCACCCCTATGCTCTGTTCACCCCTACCACTCACAGCTCCTATTTTAGTCATCCCAAATACCTATACTCAGCTGGAAATAGTGGTGCATTCCTGTAGAGGCTGAGGCAGGAGGGTTGACATGAGTTTAAGGCCAGCCTCAGCTACAGCAAGACAGTCTCAAAAAAAAGAAAAAAAAACCTATACGCATCTCAGTTCTTTCAGAAGTCTCTCTTCCCCGTGATTGCCATTGTAAACTTTGCTTTTAAATAGGGATTCAACAGGGTGGTAAGTGAGAGAACAAGAGACAGGAGTCCTCTATAAAAGACCAGAATTTCCAATGCAAGTGAAGTTTGCTTCCTCGCCAACAAATAGCTATCCAGGCCTCTGGATGGCCTCTGCTTCCTTCTGTCCTTATTTTTCTGTCTCCAGCTTTTTACACCCATTCCTATAAACTTCTGGCATAGTCTTTGCTCAAAGGGACACATCCATCTTTTAAGGAGAATGGCTGCAGGGAGGGCTACGAGGCTGGGGCTCACACACGGCGGCACATAGTTGTTCCCTCAGGAAGAAACCCTGCCCTCCACAGACTTTCCTATGAAACTACATAGGCAGGGTAACTGGGTAGAGGACAGTACAGAGGTCAATGCTACTCCCAAAGAGAAATGAAAGAAACACATTTTCCCATTCTCCTGCATCTCAGACTCTGGGTGGGAGGCAAGAAAGCAGCAATGGAAAGAGGGGGCAAAAAGTGGGGATACAGGCTCCCTTCTTTCCCCACTCCCCAAGCTCCCATAACTTCTTGGAAAGACACAATTGAGGAAGCAATACGAATACCAATACCAGCAGTCTCTAGACATCACACAGTATTTACCACAGGTCAGACAGAGCCTTAAACACTGTGTAGACACATAGTAATTCATCTGATGCTTATAATGGAGCTTATAATGCCTAAAAGACTATTATCATTTTATAGTTTTCAGATTTTTTTTTAAAGTGGAATCTCTGAACTAACTTGGCAAGAGAAAGTAAGCAGAAAGTGGGTTGAGAGAAGGCTTCTTTGGGTTGGGACTTGAGAACAGTGGAAATGTGAGTAGTTAGGGGGAACTATTCACTCCTATGCTCTGTCAACCCCCCACACACACACACACAGGGTCAGGGAAAAGGAAACGGTCCAGATGGGAAACCCCAAGGTCAGGTCAAGGCAGGACTCACCCAGAACTGGAATGAGGGTGTCACTTCAGAGTCCTCTGGAGAAAGGTAGACGAAATCCCAGTTTGACAGAAAAGAAGCATAAATGCCCCAAGCACCCAGTGTGGAGAGGTGTCTTACTTAATGGGAGCTGTCCATGGTGTCAGGAAAATGAGGAAAAGGGCCACCCACTCTTGCCAGTGTCCACTCTTCAGATCTTCCTTTGCGCTGCCTCCTCCAGCCCAGGCTGCCCGTGCCAGTCAGGCCAGGAGAGGCTGGAGAGATGGCTGCTCAGCACAAAGTCCAATGCTGTTCCTGCTGAGGGTGTGGCTCACTTAACCCTTCGCAGTCCTGTAGTGCTCAGTCTCCCTCTGGAGAGAAAAGGATACCCGGTTGCCTTTAGCTAAGGGGCTCAAATAAAAGAGTTATTGCTCCACTATCAACAAAATTTGGAAATGAGAAATTCACAGCCAAGGAAAAGGTTTCCAAAAAGTCAGAAATTCTGCCATGGAGGAAAGCACACTAGGATGTCCTCCTAGCAAGAATACTACCTTCTCCAAACCTACCTTTCCTATCTTACTGGGAGTCAGAGGACAGTAATGAGATTGCCCGGGAGCTATGTAAACAAAATTCCTAAATTTCCCTCTTGTGAATCAGGGCTCCCCAGAGACCAAGAGATTGACAGTACTACTGTGCATTTGTATGGACCGAATTCCCACCTGTATCATCTCACTACTAGCCCCACCCTAAAAGACAAGCAATGCAGACACTCTATTCTAAAGAGAAATTAGAGCAAACACGAGCTCAGAGAGGTTATACAGTATGCTTAGTACCAAGCTACCACATCGCAGAACCAGGAACATAGTGCAACTCCCTCACCATCAGTCTGCCTTATGTTTCAGTCCAAGTTCCAATGTTTCTAACATTCATCCTTCTGCAGCACCAGAACACTAAATAAGACCTTGAAATGCTATTTCCTGGGAAATAGCCCCTAGCAGAAAATAGCTTCCTCTGATAGATAAAAAGCTTATCAAATCCAATTTCCAAAGTACCCTACTCCCACCTACCCAGGAAAATTCCTAAACAGCAGGACCCTCTACCAACTTCCTCCCCAGGATTGCACAAAGAGCAAATTAGGCAATTACAGACACTTAACTAAAGACAGAGACCTGATTCTCCAACTCCTAGCCACAGCTACTTAGTTCAGGGTTTGAGTTCTATTGCTCTGCAGACGCACTCTGCATATGCTTGGTCCATCAGCAGTCCATTATCAATCTTCCCTTAAATAACTTATTGATTCACTCTATTTGGTGAGCAAAGAAAAGCAAGGAAGAGAAAGAGAAAGCTGAGTGGAAGTGACATCAAAACACAATCCCATGTATGGGTGGAGCAATATCACAATGTCTGAGGCAGAAGTGACTGTTGTCCAATAGAGGAAATAGAATGAAGGCAACTTTTTTCCACATATGTAACACTGTAAGCCTGGCAGAGCGGCACCAAAACCCAGGTCTCATGTTCTCTTAGCCAGGAACCTGCAGGATTTGGGGTTTATCTTTGTGTCTACGCATTCCTTCAAGAGCCTATTCCACATGCTCCCAGGAGAAAAGTGTATCTAAGGGAGATGGCAACCTTAAGGCTTTAAACATCACCACTATGACACCCAGCCATACTAGTCTGCCTGGACCACCCTGGGTTCCCACCTGCTAGAAGACGTGAAATCTGAGTGCTAAAACCAGGAATATTTAAATGGAATCTGTGGTCCATCCTAAACTAGAATGACATGTTCATTCAAGTCAGCTGGCATTTCAGAATTTGTCAAAACATGTCTGGGGTGGGGATAAGGTGGGGAGTAGAGAAAAGGCAGATGCAGCATTGTGAGCACCTGATTTCTAGACAAAACTAAAGCAGTTGGAGCTTGTTAATTTATTTCTTTTTGACTCCAAAATCACTTTCCTTTGTACTCCATTAAAATGTCTAGTCTGGGGCTTTGATATAACTCAGTGGAGCACTTGCCTGGCACTTATGAGGTGCTAGTATAATCCATGAAATGGTGAGGGAACTTTGGAAAATAACCAAAATGTTCTATTACAGTTGGTATGGGGGGGGGGTGTCCATACAGCCAACTTTGTCAAAACTCAGAAAAACTGTACTTAAAACTGGTAAACTTTCTTGTATAAAGTATACTCCCATAAAGCTGATGAAAAAAAAATGATGAAGAGGAAACAATTCCAAGTCTTTTGATTTCTCATAAAAGGTGGGAGAGCACCTTTAAACCAATACATTCAATAATACTCCCAGAGACATCGACCTTTTTTTCGTTTGTTTTTTTGAGACATCAACTTTTTAAAAAATGCTGCTCAATAAAAACACAAAGGTTTTCAAATATGATGCCCAAGATATTTAGTGGTAAAGAGGCCCATAAACTATTGCAGTCAATAACACCAAGAATTCACTATGCGCCAAGTAACAGACTAAGTGCTTTACATCCTTGCTATTCAAGACAAGGTTCATACACCACCATCATCCAATTATCGGGAAACAGATTAGAAAGGCAGATTCTTGGGCCTTACTGTAGATACGGTGAATCAGATCTATATTTTAATAAGCTCTCCCATCAATTACTGTGTGTTGAATTTGAGTACTACTTTGCACTTCTTAAACTTTTCCTATCTTTACTATAAACCTGTGGTGTTGCACATCTAGCAATAATGCTTTAGTGTTTTACTAATTTAGTCATTAATGGTTATCTATGTCTCATTACTTAGGAAGTTACAAAGGAGAAAAAGAATGTCATCTGTGTGCATTAACCTACATAAATTTATATGTGATCTACATTGTTTTCTTACTGGCCTTCATCCTGCCAACTTTGTCTTTTAAAAAATGTACAATGGATTTCCAAGTAAATAAGAACAGAGAAGACAGGTACAGAATTAATACAAATGCTAAGACAAAAAGGAAATAATAAAGAGAAAAAAAAGCAAGATAGCAAACTCCTATAGCAGAAACTGGCCTTAGACATAATCAAAGCCTATATTTTCTAGCCCCCGTCTTACTTTTCTTGTTGCTGAGTCAAAATATTTGACACCCAAAATTAAGAAAGGTTTATTTAGTTCAGACTTTGTGGAGGTTTCGGTCTGTAAAAGCGGGCTTCAAGGCAGGGTGGCATGGCCCATGGGCAACAGTTCAAGGTGGCAGAAGACTGCAAAAGCAAAATGAGGAGAGGAAGGCTCTTTTTCTCCCTTATACTGTAAACAGCCCCCACCAGTAGGGCAGCTGTAGCGCTCCCACCATCTGTGTCTTCCTCCAGCACAGATGTTTACAAAGCAAGGGCCCTGACCCCCTCCTGAATTGCTGGTTAAACTTCTAAATAGCTCAAGTTGACACTTGTACCTACCATTACAGCCCCTTAACATTCACTACAGCCTTAGTCCCTCTTGTATCTTACATAAATCTCCTGGTAGGGCTCCCCTATCTGGATCTTAGGTCCCTCCCATCACAATGGAGACACAAGAGGTATTTTGTCATAAAAAAAAAAATAATGAAAGAACTAAAGTACAATCAGAGTAGCTTCCTGGACCAGGAATAACCTTTACTTTTCCTTTGATACAGCACTGCACAATCTACTACTCCTGCAGGATTGCCCCTATGAGATCTTGCATCCCAGGAAATCAATCAGTCCAGATTTAGGATGGGGAGGGACGGTTAGAAGAGGGGAACTCAGTGGTGTGAAACTGCAGTCAATTACTGTTTACCTGAAAACATGAAATCCAAACAAGAGCATATATTAAGAAAGAGCACTAGACAGTCTATAAAACTTTATTAAAACTGGGTTCATTTACAAACTATACAATAAAAATTTTAAAATATGTAAGATCATTATTCTTACAGAAACATGAAAATAAGACCTATGGCAAAGAGTGGTCCCTGATAACTTTATTCCTTATAAACATTTATGAACATTTATTTTAAATACAAATGACAAATCTTTTATCTACACACTAAGGCATTATCCACAGGCTAACATTTACCCAGTAACTTCTTAGCCCTGTTATTTCAACATCAATTCCATGGAAAACTGTGGCAATTGCAGTTTGTAACAGTTTCTTAAATTCACATTATGAGTTTCCTATTAACAGAATACTGCATATGCAATAGGCAAGTTCAAAGAGAGTTGTTTTCAAGTAGTCATCAAAAGTGCAAAAGAAGATGACACACATAGGTGAGGGGTAGAGAGTCTGTGTGACCACTGACAACCCCACTAAAGCTGCAAGGTGACATTGGTATGAATCTGCTTTATCCTCAGCAGGCTCTGGGTCCTGCCATGAAAGGCACCAGATATCGTTTTCAAGGAAGTGAACCATCTAGAACCTAACCCAATAGCAACCTGAATCCATAAATTGTCCATAAGATACCAGTGGGTCCCACAGTTGCACAAGTTCCCCTAAAAAAAAAAAAAAAAAAATCAATTCCGCCACATAGAAACAAGCAGAAGTTCAGGTGCATCTGCCTTGTACAGTGGCTATTTTATGTGTATTACTTGGTTTCAGTACCTATATAATGTAAAAAAACTAAATTTATCCAACCCTCCTCTCCCTAGTTCAGACAGAAGTTCTAGCATTTCAACGCAGTTATTACCTCACATGTCAGGCCTTAGTGTGAATACTAGAAAGATGTTTAATCTCCTTTCCTCCTACTTCAGCTTTCACCACTCAGTTCAGAAGAGTTATGAGTACATAGCTAAGAACCATTTTTAGGCAGGCATCCATCTGAGCCCATCTTTTTTATTTTTCTGAAACAACAGAAAGATTGAGGGCAATTACATAACCCATTCCCAATCCTTTTATGGATATCAGGGCTTGGGGAACTATCCGGCTTATTTAGGTCCTTTCATTCATCAAACTTCCATCTTAATGCCAACTAGAGACTGGGTTAAAGGGTCATAACTGATGAAGAGAGCACTGGGCACTGGAATAGGATGCATTTTTGTAAAAGGAACAGTGGGACCCAAAGTGCTATCATTAGCAAAATTCCCTTTTTGTAACAGACATAAAAACCACAAGTTTGGGGAGAGAAATGAACTGGTTTGGTATGATGCAGTGGCTGATAAGAATTTACTAGAAAAGGGGCTGGGGATTTAGCTCAGCGGCATAAGCACCTGCCTTGCAAGCAGGCAGTCGTGAGTTCGATCCCTGGTTCTGATAAAAATGAAGAGAAAAAAAAAAAAAGAATTTACTAGAAAGTATCAAAGTTGTTAAATTTTTCTTGGTTTTGGTCATTATGTTCTGTTGCTGTCATGAAACCACCTGAGTAGGAAGGTCGAAAAAAAAATTTTAGGCCAGTAGCCTCTTATACTCCCCTTACTGGGAATCATGCTCCAAATAACTTGGTCAGACTGATTAGACCACAGATTTTCAATGTTGATGAGACCTTGAGCCGTTGGGCCAATTTATGACTTGACATTTGTTGAGCAAGATGCTGACGAGGCAGCAGACACGGCTCCACTCTCCAGCTCACCTCACAGTTATCCTTTCAATCCTTCTTGATGAGATGGGCCTGAAATGAGACTATGCTGAAATTGCAATAGCTGTAACTGCCAGGGAAAATTAAATAGGGGCTTCAAGTAGTGCCTGAGCCAGCAGACTAAGTGGCCAAGAGGGAGACAAGAACAGCTCCTATAGGTTTACAGAGTTAAACAATCTCCAGGCACAGACACTCTGAAACATCTGGGCAGAGCTACACAGGCAAGCAGAACAAGGACACACAGCACAAAAATAGGCATCGTTGTCCTTCACTGAGAGCAATGCTCATGTTGAAGGAGCAACTATTATCACTACCACCTGAAGCTCAGTTCTCCAATTACCAGATAGGGAGTAATCAAGTGAATTTGATTTTACTCATCTCAAATTCAAATACAGTAAAGAAAAAAAAAAAAAAAACTAGTCTTGAAACTGTATTTCCCAAAGCGTTTACAACACAGAAAAAACAGGAGAATCTTTCTCAACTTTCCAATGGCTTCTCACTAAAATAAAGGCATAAACCAGGAAACGTCACTCTGGAGGCAAGCTACCACCTTCCAAGATATTTGGGAGAAGGCACCATTATCTCCAGTGATCCTAAGATATTTTGTACAGTTAAATTATCTATACTTAAATATGCTAGGCCTAAAATTTCTATAAATAATGTCAAAATTATACTTTACAGCATTTTTCTGCAGGGAAGATTGTGTGAACCCTGGGCCTTGTGCATGCTAGGCAAGTGCAATATCACTAAGCTATATTTCCACTTCCTTAGAGGTTTTAATAGTTCTTTGTAGGAGGATAAAATTTTACCATGCAAATAATTCACAAAGGAATAAAGGCTTCCCAATACAAAGTTCTTTGTATTCTGCAACTTTAACCCACAGCATTCACCCAACATTGTTCATTGCTTTCTTTCTGTCAATTTCTGCCAACTGAGGTAGTTGTCATTTTAGAACAGCTGAAGGCTACGGGGGAACACTGGTGGAAATAATCAACCAGCCACCTGGATGGGAGTCTCAGAGCTGACATTTCAGAAGTCAGCAATGGAGACTACGATATTTCAAAATTACTTAATGGCAGCTCTGAATGAATTATGACACTTTTTAAAAATTCATCTTTCTTTCCATGATCATGGTTAGTCAAGTCCAATGCTGTATACCTGCCATGAATGTCTCTCTTCCTAGCTAAAAGAATTACAGGTTTTCCCAAAGTACAAGCAGGAAAAACCACAAGAGAAAAAAACCAACAAATGACAGATACTTGGGAATTTGCTCCCTCATAAATGTTATTGCTGGGTTGTAAGAGTACTATACAAAGGCAAAAGAATATGAAACTAAGGCCACTATAATACAAGATAGCAAGAATCTCCAGCCAGAAACAGAATTGCAAATTAAGTATAACAAATTCATAGAAAAATGTGTCTGATCCTGAAGGCCGAGTGAGCACCTGAGGTAAGACAACCCAGAGGTCTATTTTCCAGCAATGCAAATTATGGTAGGGACAAGCTATAAACTGTATATAAGAAACTTCATAGATGGTTTCAGAGCTTAAAAATTAGCCAGATTTGGGACAGTACAGGTGGTAAGGAAGGCTGAAAGAATGAACTTCATATACAAAGCAAGGCAGACAAAAGGATATTTCTTTCACAGTTACTCAAAGATACCCAATAGCAGGAAAAATGGGGTAAATAAGAGCACTTCTCCGGCTAGCAGAATGGATGGGGATAAGAAATGAAACATACTCTAAATTCAGTTTCACATCCCACAAGTGGAAGAATTCAGTTTTCTGAAAGGAACAAGGAGATCAAGGAAGATTAAGAGAAAAATGCAAATGTATTTTAAAGACAAGATTAAATGTGGAATATAACAAAAAGCCCAAGAGGTTTCACATACGGAAGAGCCTACAGGTACTTCCCTCAAAGCAAAGAGGACTCAAAATATCATATATGTCAGAACTAATTCAAAGTTGAACATGACAGCTTCTGGGGCCTTAATGGATAATCTGTACCAAACAGGCTCTGTCATTCTGCAGCACCTGCTTGTTCTAGGTATGAGTTTATGTTTTTAAAAATGTGTTTTAAAAAAAAAAAAAAACAAGAGCAACTAGGTGTGGTGGTGCACACCTGTAATCCCAGCACTGGAGACAGTGAGGCAGGACAATCTCCATGAGTTTAAGGCCATCCTGGGCTACATAAGTGAGTTCAAGGCCACTCTGCACTACATGGTGAGAGCCTGTCTCAGAAAAAAAAGCCAACTAGACAAAAATCAATTTTCCCCAAAAGCATTTAAATAAAGGATTATTCTAAAGTCACTGAAATAAAAACAGAAGTGAATGATTAGTGATTTTCATCCTGGCAGATGCAGCCTAAGATCTGGAAGCTCTACTGCAATTTTCTCAATTTGGAGTGACAGAAGTCATGACTGAATCAACTTTCAGGAGGAGCTGCAATGCCATGCTGGTTGTGCATATCCAACTTCTTGGTAATAGAAAAATGGGCCGATGGCTTAACCAGTGGGAAGTGAACTACCAAAGCATTCAGTGCTTTACCCATTCTCCTTCCTCAGTGATCCCACAGAGACCATCAAGGCCACTCCCAGAGGGAGATCCACACAAGCCTCTCATTTCAGTGGGAGACTCTTCGCATTCTTCCTCTGCCTTCCTGTCGTAACATGGACCACCAACGGACCAAGCCATCCTGCATGAAAGTAAGACTACCCTCTAAGGGAGGAAGTCATTTTGTGTGGCAGGGGGGTACAGAGAATCTGAGTCCTCCTCCTCAGAGAATGCTTCCTCATCCAGGGCAATAATGCTCCCTAATCCATACTCCTGCTCATGGACAGAAACTTCATTTGGTGTGAGGTGGAAAGAACCTTCCACAAAGTCAGCAAATCTGGAAAACAGAAGGTAATATTCATTAGCAATCTGTCTTCTAGCCTTCCAATTGTCTCTCAAAATAAGAATAAATTGAAATGCTTCATATGCTCATAGTTGTAATTTGGAGTCAATCCCACATTCTTGTCCCTACTCTGGCAGTTACACAGACTACAGAAACAAGAAAAAAGAAAGGCTAGGATCACAGGCTAATATCCCCTGCAATTTCATCTAGCTAAATAGGTTGTCTAGCACTAGGTTGTCTTTTTTGGTTATGGAAATGCTAAAGTTCCTTGAGTCATCTATGCCTGATAAGAGAAGATTAAAGATATTACAGTTATTTGTGTTTATGACCCTATAAACTTTAGCTGTTAGGATTCCAAATTGAATCTTCATCTACTCATTTTATCAAGTAAAAAGCAAAAAGAAAAACCAATAAGAGAGCAATGTAAAACTTGCAGAGAAGGGTAACTTAATATGGCATTGGAATCTTCCCATCTCAATGCTTCAATAAAAGCTAGAGCAGGTAGTTCCTTGGGAAAACAGGAAATGGGAAACTGCTTAATATATGCTATCAATGGCTTTCTCTTGACCACTCCTAGGTGAATAGTGAACAAGGGCCATAAATACAACAAGGTTATCTAGAAGTTTGGTCCCTGTCAGAACTCAAAATCACAGTGATCCTGATAAGATACTTGGCTTATCTGGCCAAAAGTTTACCTTTTTGGAAACTGTATCCGAGAAATGGTCTTCCATGGAGAGCAATCTGGACTGTTACAAAATGTTCTGAGCTCTTCTAAAGCCTTCTGGGTCTCTACCTCTCCTTGTATCCGATATTCTTCTTCTGTCAGAAGACGAGGGGGAACAGGCTTTTCTCTTGCCTTACACATCTTTCTGTGCTCACCAAAATAACATCATGAATCATTAATCAGTAATCTATATCCATCCTCATCTCTAGCTCCATTCAGCGGACCAAGCATATAACAGCATATAGCATGAACGTTATACAGTCATCACTCCCATCTTTATTCCACAGACATCTTTGTTACAAAATGGACTCATTTCAGTGAAGTTAGAGTAGTCAATATTGTACACTAATGTGAATAAATTCATTTATTTTTCCAACAAATGATAAATAAAATATTTATTTTCCAATAAATGGAAAAATGACAAGAAAATAATCTTATAATACTGTGATCCATTGACTTGGTTCCTCAAACTGAAGGTATCACTTTGACTATCTGCAACAGAACAACCATTAATAATCTCAGAATCCATAACCATTCCATAATCAATATGCAAAGTGATAACACACTACAAATTACATCTTAAAATAAGACTAGGATTTCCAAAGAAATCTGAGAACTAGGGTTAAATAATCTTGAAACAGCTAGCCTGAGGCTTATAGTATAAAAGTGATACAATGTGCACCACCTAGTGGTAATAGGAACACATAGCACTTTACTGAATGCTTTTATTTTATATAAAACTACAATAAAAATTATAAAAAGCCTACAGCACCTAAGAAAATAGGAAGGAAAAAAAGGCAAAAGCATAATACAGTAATTTCCCATTAATAAACAGGATCCCAGGGCCACACCTCTGCATCCTTCTGTTGTAAACGGCCATTTCATATTGAACATGTCAGCACAGTTACATTGTCTTTCAGTCACCTGTAAGTGATGTACAGCCACTGAATAGGGTACTCCAGATTCTTAGTACACAGTGCAATGATGACAGAGCCAAGGGCAATGTGTGGTATTTGGATGCCGGAATACATGAAACCCAGGCCTATCAGCTGCAAGGTCCAAGTCAACAAGTTGATACTTCGTTCATTCTCCAAGGGCCCATATTTGTAACACACAGCAAAACTCATGAATCCAACTGTGATGATATAACCTGAGAAGAGTTATATAGAATCTGTTGAACCAAGAAATTGGATAAGTTGTTTACTCAATTATTCATACTTATTTCATTATTAGGAGAAATGTGTATATGTGTGTGTACAAATACACACATGCTCATACACATACATACACACATATATGTGTACGTTTCTACTCTTTCTGTTGTCAGAAATTTATCTGGTTCAAATGCATCATTAAAGCTACATGTTGAATAATCCTGAAACAGTCTATTTTTAAGATCCAAACTATGAAACAGAGATTAATCACTTCTCAAATAACATTTCAAGTGTTTTTAATTCTTTTTTTGGCGGGGGGCAGGGGGAGATACCAGGAATTGAACTCAGGACCTTGTGCAGCAGGCAGGCACTTATGCCACTGAGCTGTATCCCTGGCTGAGGGTTTTTTTTAATAACTAAAGAATCTTCCTCTGCAGGTTAAGAATCACTGCAATCTTATACTTCTTAAGGTTCTCAAACATATTTAAAGTATGATTATATTAATAGTCAATATATAGCTTTTCAGAAAGATGATTTGTAGTTTTGTTTTGTTTTGTTTTTTGAGACAGGGTCTCACTATGTAGTTCAGGGTGGCATTGAGCTCACTCTGTAGCCTCGGCTGGCCTCAAATTCATGGCAATCCTCCTGTCTCAACCTCCTGAGTGCCACAATTACAGGCATGTGCCACCACACCCAGCTGAGAAATGTTTTATAAATACCAACAAATTAAACTCTTCTCAGGCCAAAGATTTAACTCAATGGCATAATCTTCTGCCTGGCAAGTATGAGGTCCTGAGTTCGATCCTCAGTACAAAAAACAAAAACAAAGTCTCCTCGACAGCAGCTCATTTTTTGTCTTTTTGAGACAGGGTCTCACTAAGTAGTTCAGGCTGGCCTTGAGTCACACTTTGTATGTAGTCCAGGCTGGTCTTAAACTCTCAATGATCCTCCTGCCTCAGCCCCCCCGAGTGCTGGGATTACAGACATATGCCATCACACCTGGCACAGTATTTTAACTTTTCAAAAATAATGGTATTAGAAATCAATGGAAAACTGATAATTACAAGTTAATCAAAACTCATAAACTATTACTTCCTTGTAAGCAGGCAACATTTTTTCATGCTCAAATTAATACAGTCAACAATATAGAAAGCAAAACTGTAACACTTACTTAAAAGATACTGCCAATAACACTTCCAGATCTCTTGTAAGTTCTTAAAAACTAGTTGGATGAGGTACAGAGAAAACGACCAGCCTCCCACCAGGATGACATAAATGGGACTTTTCTAAAACAGAGTAGAAGTGAAAGCAAAAAGTTACAAGACTTACCATACTAAAAAGAAGCATAATGGCACTATGATTTTTCTTAAAATTTAACCTACTTAAAATGTACATTTTTAAAATGGTATCATTTTTATTTAAAAAGGTACATAAGTTTGTAACGAACACTAGAAAACTGAGATAAGGGGCTGGGGATTTAGCTCAGCGGCATAAACGCCTGCCTTGCAAGCAGACATTCGTGAGTTTGATCCCTGGTACCGATAAAAACGAAAAAGACAAAAAGAAAACTGAGATAAAACTTGAATATATAGTTAGAACACAGGTTGACTTTACTCCCTGCTGAGCACAGAACTTTAAATAGTTTGTACGCAATCAGATTCCAGTTTCATCGTGGAAAGTACCTTTCAGAATCAAGGAAGGAACAGGGCATTCACTCATTAGCCATCTGTGTAAACTGTCAGTGTTCTAAGAATACCCAAGTCCATCCTAACTGCATATGAGGATTGTGCCACTTACCTTCGGCATAAACTTGGATATTATAAAAATGATGATTAGGAGAGAGGCCACAATTCCCACACTCATTCCAGAGGAGTAATAGAAAATCTGACTCCTGCAGACAGAAAATTTGCCTTATGATTATAGTTATATACTTCATACATAGCAGAAACTAGGACAACTAAACCAACCAAAAGATTTCTAAAAAATTTTTATTAGTACATGTTTACAGAACATGATTACACTCATCAGAGAAGTTGGAATGTGTAATGTACATAGTATATCTTAAGTGGTTTTTTTTGTTTTTTTGGTGCTGGGAATCAAACTGATGACCTTGCACTTGCCAGGCAGGCGCTATGCCACTGAGCTAAATCCCCAGCCCCTATCTTAGTTATTTTTTACTTCCCTTTCTTTCCTCTCCCCTCCTTCCTTGTCCATTCCCTTCCCATTTGCAAAAGATCTCTCTTTCTACTGTTTCTATCTTGTATTTTTGCTCAAGATTTTCTTAAAGGTATAAATTATGGCAAAACCTGAATTGCCAAAAACCTGAGTTCAGAGAACAGAGCTACAGAAACTGATACAACATAGTTGTTGCCAGTTTATAAAAGTTAGTATCAATTAGGTTCCCTCAAGTTTATCCCACCACATAAACCCACTTCCACCTGCAATCTCTCTCCCAACTCAATTTTTTTTTCTTTTGTTTTGTTTTTTAATTTTCAGACAGGATCTTACTAACTCACTAAGTAGCCTGGGTTGGCCTCAAAATTGTAATCCTCTTGCCTCAGCCTCCCAGAGAACTGGGTTTACAGGATGTACCACCATGCTTAGCTTCAACACAAGTTTTAATAAGACTATTTCTTCTAAAGAACTTCTTGGCTTCTCTGGGAAAAAAGCAAGAATATTGCTGAAGCAGATTGAAAATTGAAACTGAACAGTTTAACCAGAAAAATAAACAAATCTTTCCTGAGTCTATTACAGACATTCTACTACCATTCCAGGCTCCTTCTACCCATTATTCCTCCCTCACTGTTTTTCTCAGAATTTCCAATTCAAGAAAGAGCTTCCTCAAACCCCACTTCCGCCCAACTTCAAATTCCAATTGTTATTCTTTTTACTTGCACAATGTTGATTCTACCTTCATTCAATGTTTGCTTAGTTATCTACATGTTTTCTTTATATTTGTTCATGTCAGTTTCACCTAGTTTCCTTAATAGGCTCCTAAAGGAAGGAAATGAAAATAGTGATGTTTGTCTCTTTACATCTAAACACAACCTGGCAGCAACTACACTCCATCATTCTCTGCTGTAACACATTAGTTCTAATAGAAGAAAGGTCTAATAGAAGATGGTCAACTGCATGATACACCCACTAAATCCAATTAACCTTATGAAGATTACCTAATAAGGGAATTTAATTAACAATATTATTCAAATCAGGAAAAAAAAACAAGTATCATCATACATATTAATATATTTTTTAAAATATTTAAGCAGACAATATCTAAGCCATAAAGGTCTAGGAGCGACAATGGCAATACTTACAGTTTTTATGATAAAAATACCATGGGTATGAATGAGCCTTGTTATGGTACACACTAGCCATGCAACCTACCTGCTCAGCAAGTCTCCGCAAAAAAACAGTACAAGTCCAAGGAAGAAAATGAGGAAGAGTTTGGGGTCAAATCCTGAAGTAAAGAAAGATTTTTGCTTAATAGGAGAAAACAAACAGTTTAAGGCATTACAGAATAATGAGCAATGTTGTCCTACTGATTAAGTACAGTAAAATAGTAAATTCCACACAAAACCTGGTCACCCTTCCAAAGAGAAAGTGTAACTAAGTCTCTATCTAACCACTACTTACCTGAAGATCTGATTTTTACTTTGGTTACCTATGTTCTAAGCTGCACTTTGGAACAAGCTATAGTGCCATCAACACTTCACACAGTTGTCCACAAGGGGTCTCTTCCATTCTGGTTTTCAAGCCTAAAGCTCTCTCTTGCAGGGAATTCAAATTTGCCTATAACTTTGCATTAGGACCTCATGTTGTTTTGTGACTGCTTTTCTTGCCTAACGTTATCTTCTTTTCTTTGCTACATAACACAGCACTGCTGGAAAAGCCTATCCAAACACATCTCACCCAGGATGAGTGAACCCAAGCAAAGGGCCCTTAGAGATTCTATATCTTTTACATTTGGAGTTCTGTGTTTAGGGGAGACCAACAGACAGAAGCAAGAGAAGTCAGTAAATATCAAAGGAATGCAAAAAATAGGCTGACCCTACACAACTGTGCAACCCTAGGACAAATGCAAAGGCATAATGACATGTCTAGTACTCACGTATCTAGGACACACAGGGCATGAAGAGTAACCATAAAGAAACCAAGTCAGACATTTCAACAGAAACTACCTCCTCAGACATCTTCAGGGAGGGAAAAGTTCCACTCAATCCAGACTTAAATTGCATTAATCCTCAGCTTTACTTATAGTTCCATAAGTATTTTCTACTTGTGAATTACTAATACTCGATTTTATCTTTCCTCAGTTTTTATTTAACCATTCATGTCTTGAAATGCAGGTCAGTACAGATAATGCCTTTGTTTAGAAGTGTTCAGAAAGCATGAGGCAACTATCTGGTTACTCTAAGAATACTGCAGGCATTATCAGCTTCAGACACAGGCACTGTGAGGAGCAGGGAAGCCTTCAAACTCTAGGCAAGGAATTGCTGCAATGGCAGAGGTGAAATCTTAATTTCTAGGCCTGAACAGTCAGATGTGAGATGGAGTCACTATATAAACTGGGCCTGTGGTGAACTCAGGGTTATAATCAGAACCAAAAAGGAGCTGTTCTGGGCTGACTTCTATGTCTCACTAATCACACCCTCCAAATCTCAGTCTTTACTCACTATAGAATCCATCAGAAACACAGAGAGGAAACTTACTCCGGGTCACAATGACACTGTACTTGGTGTCCTCTGCAGTGTCAACTCTGAGGCAGGTTTTTGAGCTATACAGACCCACGTTAACATAGGTGTCATTCAATTTCTCTTTTAAAAAAGAGGAAAAAAAGTTCCAGATACTAAACTGCTCTAGCTCCTTTAGTTTCTCTTCGTTGTCCACCTGGGTGACTTTAACCAATTTGGAACTATTTACGCGGATCTGCAACACAAGTAAAATCAGAGTAAGAAAGAAAGAAGTAGGAACTTACATTTTTCACAAATACAATTTTTTAAAAACCCTTAACACAGTTAAATCAGTAATGGTCTTCTCAAAAATAAACATGTGCAGCAGCTAAAATATAATTGGACAAATAATCCCACACACGGGTACAGAAGCAACTGTTAGGATGTGTTCTTGTTAACATGATCCCAATCTATGATTAAGCCAGAACATAGGTGAGGAAAAACTCCCCAGATGAAAGTTATCAATACAGGTTTTTACGAGAAACCATACATTGCAAGAGCCTAGCAATTAAGAAAATTGCCGATCATAAATAGCCCCAGAAAACTGAAAATGTTTCTCATAATGACAGACTGTCAAAAATCATTGATTATAGGTAAATGTTGTCATGATATACCCCAGATGGAATAGCATTTTTATACCAGACAATAAAAAATAAGAAAAAAAAAAAAAAAACCGTAAGTCCACTCTTAGGTTTTTGATGTGAACAGCAAACACTCTTATCTGTAACCATACTTATAGAAGCATCATGTCCAAAAGGGTTCATTTTGTTCAGTCACTATTACAGCCACTCTTGCTTATCAGGTGATTTAACAGTTATTAAATAAATGAAACAAATATTCCTCCAAGGGGAAATTTCAGCTCAGGGGTTTATAAACTATCTCATGTAGAAATAGAAACAGAATAGTAGCAGCAAAGCACCAGACATTGTGACACATCACTATAATTCCAGTGCCCTCTAGGCTGAGGAAAGAGAATCACAAGTTTGAGCACAGTCCTTTGGCAATTTAGCAACTAAGCAAATATTAAAAGGACTAGGTATGTAGCTTCTTGTGAAGGCCCTGGGTTCAATCCTCATTACCACCAACAAAAAAGAAGCAACAATAGCAGCAAAGTAAGTTTATATACTGACAGGCACACCACAATTTCCAGTCCAAAGAAGACACAGAGTCCTTAAAAAGAGAACTGTGACAGTGCATGCATATGTGTATTTTTGAGTGTGTCCACACTGCAAAAGGAATACTGGAAAGAGAATGAAGCACTTTATTTGGGAAAAGAAGGAAGGAAGGATCATAGTACTGTAAAGCTACTTGAAGGAGCTGAAATATCAGTGAAGGGCTTCCAAATTATTACCTGTATCCGTGTCCATACATCATGCCACTTTGGGATAAGCGTGTTTTCGTAACAGAATTGTTTGCTGACATACGAATCATGAATTATAGATTCCTGCAACATGACCACACCTATATCAGGTCCAGCTTTATACAAAGAAAAGAAACAAAAATTAAACATAAAGAGAGTAAGCTAATTAATAATTGTAACTCATTTTATAATACAAATTAAACTAACCACTTTTTTAAACTTGGGGCTAAAATATCAGCCAGATCAAAAAATAAGAGAAAACAAACACATACACACACACACACACACACACACACACGCACACACGAAAAGAAATAAGGCAGTCTTTATTTCCATCTAGTTAATGGAATATACATGTGCTTCGAGGCCAGGGCCTTGAACATACTAAGCACACACTCTACCTCAGAGCTACACCCCTAACCCTGTTTATTTAAATATTACAGTCATTACCTGAGAATAAGGAAGAGCTGCTATTATTTATTAACACAGACAGTATACTGTCTCATTTAACCCTTCAAACAATGCGATGGTAGGCATCTTCATAATCATTAAGTTATTTGCTAAAAGTTACATGACTAGAAAACAGTCTCTGAAATTCATACCTAGGTTAACTATGAGCCTAACTACTTATAGTTAGGCTGTCTTAACAGCCTACCTCTCTTACATAATCTTAAAACAGGGTAAAGTAAGCTACAGTAACCTCATCTGTTGATTTTCTTTCTCCTTCCTGAGTACAATGAACAAGACTTGACAGTGAATTTTTAAAAACTGAAACGCAATACAGGATTGAAGTGTTTCTTTGATCTGATGAAAATGTTATGTTACCACATTTTTAAAATGTAACAGTCAAATAGTAAATGGAATAGTTTGCTGTCTTTACACCTTTAAAACTGAATTTACAGTTAACTATATACTCATTTGTTACTCTTAAAAATAATATGCAACTGATAGTTTATATATATATATATATATATATATATATATATATTTATAGTCAAGTGAAGCAGTGGGAGTGGAGAAGGAACAAAGAAATCTGTAACTGGTTGTGATCAATTAGTTGTAAACACCACTGCACTCGGACCAGCCACAACTGATAGTTTTTACCAGTCATTGTTTCACTACTTTTTTGCTCAAATGAGGTTTGTTCATAGTATTCAGTAACAGGAATCCTCAGATATTTTGTAAAGGGCCAAAATAAAGGATGAAGAGTAGATCTGCTAACATACCACACTAACATACAAGGTTCATGCTTTCTTTAAAATAAATAACTAAAAACATCGAAGAAAATCTCAGAACTGGTCTTCTGCTAAAGTATACATATGTTGTATGAAAAGATGCTGGTTCTCTTAAAACTCTTGTTAGGCAGGTGTGGTGGCACACATTTGGAATCCCAGCATTCGGAAGGCTAAGGCAGGAAGATCACCACAAGTCTGAGGCCAGCTTGGGTTACATACTGAAATGAAAGCTCAACCTGGACTACACACTAAGACCTTGTCTCAAAGCAAACAAAAAACCTTGTTTCCTTTAAACTTGATATAATAAAAATACTAACTTTGGGGGGAAAAGATAACACAGGCATATGAAAAAGGGCACTACTGTTTTTAAACTAACTTTAAAATTCTCCAAGCCAGGTATGGTGGCATACCCCTGAAATTCCAGCACTCAGGAGGTAGCAGCAAAAGGATTGACTTGAGTTCAAACCCAGCCTGGCCTAGGTAGTGATTTTAAGGCCTGCACTACAAAGTGAGACCGTCTTTAAAAAACAAAAATTAAATTAAATTAAATTTTCCAATGTCATATTCCTTTTGTAAAAAAAAACTTTTCTCAGAAACAGTATCAGAAATAACATCTTTTAATAACGAATTTTTCCCCTGAATTCCATACCATGCAAAGGAAAGAATTTTAAGCAAATAAACCTTTTCTACAGTAACCTCCAACAGATGGCACCTTAGAAATACACTAAAGGGAAATATGCCATTGAGCCTAAGAATAATAGTCTGCAAAAATAATCATGCCTTCAGCTAGCTGTACCTTAACTTTTTGGACATACAGAACTAAAACAAATTACCACAAACACATATAAAGCTGTGGGGGCTGGATATATAGCTCAGTGGTACAGCGCCAGCCTGGCACAAAGGTCGTGAATTAGATTCCTGGTACCAAAAAAAAAAAGTCAAATGCTTTTAGTTTAGGGGCTGGGGATTTAGCTCAGCGGCATAAGTGCCTGCCTTGCAAGCAGGCAGTCGTGAGTTCGATCCCCAGTACCGGTAAAAAGGAAAAAGACAAAAAAAAAAAAAAAAAAATGCTTTTAGTTTGTTTTGCTTCTCATTGCAGAATGACGCACCAATTTTCTTCCTCTCCTTAAAGTAAGACAGCCAGCATGTTAAAAAAAAAAAAAAGCATAATAAATTAAAAACATTCAGAAAAGTACAACAGATTAATAACTACAGGCTGAGAGTATAGGGCAGTGGAAGAGTGATTCCTAGTATGTGTGAGGTCTCACGTTCAATTCCCAGCATCACCAAAAAAAAAAGGTGGTTAATAATTTCACATTTACTTCTAATCATTACAAACTTACTTTTCACCTCCTTTTCAGTCAATGATACTGATCAGAAGGAAGCTGATAAAAGTGATTCAGGGTATAGAAGGACTGGGAGAGATGCTAAAAAGTCATGAAAAACAAACCCTTCTAGTGGGTTTTTGTTTTTTGTTTTGTTTTTGTTTTTTGAGTGCTAGGGATCAAACCCAGGGCCTTGTAGATGCTGTACAAGGGCTTTACCACTGAGCTATATCCCTACATCCCTAGCTACCTCTTCTAATTCTATATAGCCTCTTCTCATTTCTGTCAAGAGATAATCTAACCCATACTTAGACCTACCTCCTCAGGTGTGGTGCTGCACACCTGTGATCTCAGCACTCAAGAGGCTGGGGCAAGAGGACTGCCACAAGTTTGGAGCCACTTTGGGCTATATAGTGAGTTCAAAACCAACCTGCATTACTTAGTAAGATGCTATCTCAAGTAACAAATGAAAACTTACCATCTTATCCCACTATTTATTACTGTATGTTTGCAATACATAATATAGTAAGGAATTCATATATATATACATATCACATATTGATCTTTTTATTTCTCCTTCCCCCATCCCTCCCATTTCCCCCCTCTCCAGGTCCCCTTCCCATCTCTACACAGTCTACCTCCCTGTTTCCTATCATTTATCTTCTTTTAATTATTTTGCTCTTTAAACTACGTGTACTGGCTAGATGTGGTGGCACAGAACTATAATCTCAATACTCTGGAACGCTAAAGCCAGGAATTGTAAATTTTGGCCCTGCCCAATTTAATAAGACCCAGTCGTCTCAAACATAAAAAAGGGCTGTGGTTCAGTGCAAAGGTCCTGGGTTCAATCTCCAATAACACACACATACATACATACACACACACAACACACACACACACACTGAATGTTTTTTTTAATACCAGGAATCAAACTCAGGGTCTCACACTTGCCAGGCAGTCGCTGCGCCACAGAGCTATATTCCCCAGCCTGCCAATATGAACTCTAAATTTAAGGTAAGGAGGGGGTAAAGGCTGGGGATATAGGTCAGTGATATAGCCCTTGTCTAAACATGCAAGGCTCTAGGGTCAAGCCACAGTACTAGAAAAAAAGTTACTACTACAAAAATAAAACAAAAATAAATAAATAGAACATCAATTTTGGAGAGCTTTGAAATGTAAAAACAATGGAAATAAATCTAAAGAATTAAATCAAGTGATCATGTAAGAAATGTAAACCTAGGGCTGGGGATTTAGTGGCATAAGCACCTGCCTGGCAAGCAGGCGGTCGTGAGTTCGATTCCCGGTACTGATAAAAAAGTTAAAAAAAAGTTAAAAGTAAACCTTCAGCTACTTGGGAGGCTGAGGCAGGAGAACTACAAGTTCAAAGCCAGCTTGGACAATTTACTGAGACTTATTCAAATAAAAGTTAAAAAGGCCTGAGAATGGAGCTTAGTACTCCCTGGATTCATTCTCCAGTTCCACACATGCACAATAAAAAAGATATATATCTTCTATTCTAAAAGATAAAAGGGGGCAAACTAAGTGGAAGTTCTGCAATTGATTATAAAAATACGTATTCTTAATATATAAAGAGCTCCAGCGGCATAAGCACCTGCCTTGCAAGTATGTGGTTGTGAGTTCAATCCTTGGTACCAATAAAAACGAAAAAGACCAAAAAAAAAAAAAAAAAAAAAAAAAAAAAATATATATATATATATATATATATATATAAAGAGCTCAATTTTTTTAAAAAAGCTCAAATTTTATTTTCAAAATATAAAAAAATCATAATAGGCTAAGAAAAAGATATATACATTCTCAAAATTTTGGTCTATATAAAAAATTAAAATAGTTTAATAAGCAATTCAAAGTGTTCTCTCACTAATAATGCCAGATGTTATTAGATACCATGGGGGAAAAAAGCCTCAAAGATCAATGGAACAGACTAGAAGATGCAGAAACAACTTCCAGATACACTAAGCCACTTTATCTTTGACAAAGGTATCAAACACATTCACTAGAAGACAGCTTTTTAAATAAATGGTGCTGGAAAAATTGGCTGTACATATGTCAAACATTAAAACTGGACCCATATCTTTCACCATGCACTAAGCTAAAATCAGAATGGATCAAAGATCTTAATATTAAAAGCCACACACGGTGGCACATGCTTGTAATCCCAGCACTCAGGAGGCTGAGGCAGGAGGATTGTTCAAGTCCAAGACCATCCTGTGCTACAAAGTTGAGCTCAAGGTCGCTCTGAACTGCACAGCAAGAACCTGTTTCAAAAACCAAAATCTTAATATTAAAACAGAAACATTAAATGTGCTGGAAGATAAGAGTATATAAAACTGTTGTAGGCAAAGACTTTATGAATGAAATCCCAATTGCACAGTAACTGTCACAAAGAATCAACAACTGGGGTCTCACCCTATTGAAAAGCCTTTGCGCAGCAAGAGAAACCACCAACACAGTGAAAAGACAATCCACAACGTGGGAGAAAATGTCTGCCAGCTGTTCCTCAGACAAAAGATTAATATGGAGAACATACAAAGA